GCTGGGACAAGACTGGTCAGAAGCTGTGGACTCAGGCCTTGGGAATAAAGAAGGACCCAGTTTTTGCTGAAGGGAAGCTCTTTGAAGGTACAGCATCCTTAGAGGACAATTGGTCAGTGATCAGCAAAGTAGAAGCTGTGCATGGTGTATGAGTGTTAAGTGCACGTGAAATGATGTCTCCAGAAAAAAACAAATTAGTTTTTACAGATGCGCAAGAAGCCAGGTGTAAAAATAAAGACTGAAACATTTATCACAGCAAGTTTTAAAAGAGCAAAAATGCTTATCAGCGGTTGAAAGGATAAATAGCCAGGGATTTATTGGTAAGCTGCAATGCTCTACAGCAGTTAAAATGAATGAATCAATGGCTGGGTGTGTCAACATGGATAAAATCCCCCAAGCTGAATGCTGGGGAAAATAAGAAGCTACAGGACATATATCCTGTATGATAACGTTTATGTAAATGTAGAAACACTCGGAAGATTATGGAGTATTCGTATTCATAAGCAACATATAGATCTAGTAGAGGGTAAATGATTGGCATCTTGTGTTTTTCTGTGCACTGAAAGTAATTCATAACAAAAGACAAAGACATGCGTGTGATGTTTCCTGCTTTCTGGACACTTCAGGGTTAGGAGCCTATGGTCAAGATTTGGGAGAGCTAGCCTTCAAGAAGGGGAAATGAGCCTGCTTCCTCTAAGGGACCCCACCGGAAGATGTCTGGAGTCACAAGGTGGAGGATGGTCTGCTTGTAAAAGTGACTTCTGCAGGCATAGCTGTCTCCGGCAGTGGCCCCGAGGTCTCTCTGCCTGCTGCCCTTCCCCCCGGGCAAAGGGGGCCCAGAGAACCCTGTGGTCAATGCGGGATGCTGTGTCCATGCTGGAAAGGACAGGATCCAGGGCTACTTTGGCCCCAGGGAGGCGTGTGCACTGAGTGAGGCCTGTTTCTGTTTTCCTGAATGAGCAGCAGCTGCCGGAGGCAAGGAGGAGGCTGAGCCCGGGAGAATCCTTTGTTGGGAAGCCCCTACTTGGAGCAGCTGCTTTTGGAAAACAGCAAAGTCAGTGTGAATCTGTTGTGCACTTTGCAGAAAGGGGGACTGTGAGTGGTGCTCAGCACACCACCTTTGATGAGGGTTATTTGGATTCTGGAAGGAAGTTAGTTGTGACATCAATCATGCAGGGAGCCCTGAGAATTTCTCTCCCACAAGGAAGATGTTGGCTGTGTATAGCATGAGGAGAAGTCGCTAGTTGGAAAACAGCTTAGTGCTGTGTTGGTGGGATGATAAGATTGAAAGCCCAGAAAGGGCCTTAATGGTTATCAGAGTTAAACCTCTTGTGTTGGTGATAGGAGGGAGCTTGACGCAGGTTCTCTTCTTGACCAAGCTCTGGTCAGCATCCTCTGAGCTCTTTTTCAACTAGGCTCTGTCCTTGGGTGTGTCCTCTGGAGCCCAGTTTTAGCAGTTTAACCAGTATCTCATCACACTCCATATCTGCTTATACTCAATAGCTGATCAAATTCCTCATCCGCCACTAATGCCTTGGGTATGTCTGGTCACCGTGACCTGCCTTCAGCAAGAATTCTGTCAGGTTAGTTCAGCAAAGAATTTCCCCACCCTCTTAGTCATGCTCTACCCACTGACCCCCACCTTTCTCTTTGGCTATAAACTCCTTGTTTATCTTGTCGTGTTGAGGGTTGAGCCCAGTCTCCCTCCTTGACGTGGAAACCTCATTGTTGTGGTCCCCTTACCTTTGCACTGGTCCTGAATGAGGTCTACTTTTCCATTTTAACAAGTGTCAGAAGAATTTTCTCTTTAATGGGCTTAGAAAATTGACCTTTCCTGGGTAAGACTTTGCATCCATTTCAGAATCATTTCTAGAGTCTAGACTTCCAGATTCCAAGTTCAATGTTCTTTCCCTACGCTGTGCTGTCTTTATGCCTTCAAGAGTGTAGAATCAAGAAGTGAATTGTTTTGTTTTGTTTGCATTTTTGTGTGTAATATTTTGTTTGTATTAATAAAGTGTTTTGTTTATATTAATAAAATATCCTACTAACATTTCCTAGAGATTATGGTGTGTCTTCTCCCCTGCCCTGGGTAGGGTAGGAGGTCAGGGTGACTGGTCATTTAGCCTTAATGCTTGTGTGAGTGAGTGAACTCTAGATCCATCTGTGGCATCCGACGCTGCTAGGTCTGACCAGTCTGTAAGTTGTGCTGGCATTCCCGTGTCAGGTGTGTTTCCTAGGTGTGGCTCTGTGTTGAGTTGCCGCTAGACGTTAGTATTTGGCCAAGAACTCACGAGTACGTTTGGACAAGTTTATTCCTTCATTCATTCTTGCAAATGAAAGACAAAACAAAGCAATACAAACATCACAACGTTCAACATTTGCTTTGTACCAGGCATGGTGCAAGGCGTTGGGGCTGTTATGAGAAATGGTTCTTGCCCATAGGGAGGTATAGTCAAGGAGGAGGTCCCAGGATAAAACTAGTATGGTCACAACAATGGGATACATGCTGGAATAGAAATATTCACAAGGTAGTATGAGAACAGGAAGGAAATGGTGATTAATTTCCCAGGGAGGAAGTTGGAAGGGGAGTGATATTGGAGCAGAGTGTGAAGGTTGGAGAGAAATTTACCGAGTAGAGGAACCAGGGGTTGGAGCTAGTTCACGCGAAGGAAATGATATGCCAGAAATGGAGGCAATGAAAATGCATGACATTCAGGAGAGTTTAGTGAGGCTGGGGAGACAGGGGCAGAGGAGCAAGCGACTAGAAATGGTCTAGTAAGTGAAGGTGTAGCCAGATTTTACAAGACTAAGCTTGGAAGCTACAGCTTCACTGTGTGCAGGCAGTGGGTAGTTACTACCAGGAAGGGAGGTGGACAGATCTGCACAGTTGAAATATAACCTGATGACAGCATGGCGATTGATGGGAGGGGGAGAAAGTAGAAGAGGAGCATCCAGTTGGGAGATTGTTGCAGAAGTGGTGATACACATTGGAATGAGGATGGAAAGATCAGGGGCCTACGTTACTTAGGAGACAGAATCGTTAAGACTTGGAGACTGAGCTGGGTTCGAGAGATAAAGGCAAGACTTCCTCTGATTGGCAGTGACTCCTAGTGCCTCAGGTAGACAGGAGACAGAAGATAAAAAGTCCGTTTTGGGGTGGCTGATCATCAAAGTTAGCATAACTGATGACCATATGGGGCCTGTAGCCTCGGGAGGGATTAGAAATACTGAGGTTCGTCTATTCAGTAAATGTGCTGAATGCGTATGATGTTCAAGGCCTGATTCTATTTCGGAGAAAGGAGAAGTGAGCGTCCTTTGTATTTTCATTTATTTTTTGACATTTCAGTCCGCTACATCCTATTAGGAGGCTTCCCATGGGTTGTATTTTTGCATCCTCACAAACGCCTCATGAGGTTAAATTGTCCCCATTTTTCAAATAAGAAGCCCGTGGCTCTGGTGGGTTAAGTGACTGCCGTCTGGTCTCGCAGCCAGGAGCTGCCCATCTAGGAGTGGAACACAGACTTAGCTAAGCCCCAGGTTCGTGTTCTTTCCTCTCCCGGTAGTGTATTCCGAAGTTCCTTGTCCTTGACCAGCTTGCATTGTGGTTGGGGAAACAGAATGTAAGGAAACTAATCATGACAATATCAAAGACTAAAATAGTCACGCACAGCATGTGCCTTGGGTGTGTAAGGGACGGGGACCTTTGTTCTGGTGCAGAGGAGAGATGAGTGGTGACTGGGAAAAGGGCCAGGGAAACCTTAGCAGAGATGAGGGTGGGTACTTAGCCGGGCCTGAGACACAGAATTAGCCAAATTGGACGGAGATGGGGATTTTTCTTAAGGGTCATCACAGAGTTTGGCATGAGACTTGTGAAGCTAAGCTTGGGCCACGGCAGAAGCAGATTAGTATTAGAAGGTGGGTAAAGGATGACAGAAAAGGCAGGGGCAGGTAGTTACTAGGGGAGACACAGGGCCAGAGTCAGGAACTGAGATTTGAGATGGAATGGAGGCACCCATGAGGTCACTTGGCCATAGAGAGAATGAGGTGGCCTCTGTGATGTCTAAAGCTCTAATGGGAAAGGATTCGTGAGTTTAGCCAAGGAAGGCGATGGCAGAAAGGGGGTGAGAACCTGATGGTACTGGTGATCTGAAAGCGGAGGGAGGTACGTGTGGCGTGGGGGTTGGGGCAGTGAGGTGGGAGCCGCAGGGAGGTTGGCTAATTGAATCCATTGTTGGGTGCCTGCTCTCCCTGCTCCATCATGGAGAGGTGGGATGGAGAGGAAGGGACCTGTGGGTCGCTTGGTCTGCCTTTGTTCTCTGAGCCCTGACTTGTGGTCTTGGTATAAGATCAGAGCCCTGGAAATTAGACTCAGTGGAGGGGGCAGGTAGCCAGCAGGCTCGTTGGGACGATGAGCTATTGGCTGCAGTCCATGTCCCGGGCTTTTTCTCCTGTGTAGAACATCAGACTCTCCACCAGTCCTGCCAGATTTGGCCATTGGACCCCACAAGCTCCTGGATACAGCACTTCCTGCCTCTCTGAGGGTTGCCAGGCTTCAGGCTCAGTGGAGGAGTGTGAAGTCAGTTGCACCTCAGGGACCTCAGGAGAAGGTCTGGCCTTTCTCCCCTTGGTCTTCATGCACAGCTCCAGGCGGGAACTCGTGCCTCTGTCCGCAGCACCACGCGGGGGACCAGAGAGCTGAGTGTGGGAGGCAGCCGGGCTCCAGCAGCTCCTTTCACTGCACAGCCTCACAAATGGCCGGAAAGTAGGTCTCCGAGAAAGGCCAGGAGCAGAGGGGAGCGAGCTCAGGTAGTGAGCAGATGCATTAGTCTAATTGCTCTTCCAAAATTAATGGGGCCTTTTATCTCTGAAGAACACTTTTAAGCACTCATGTGATTTGGGAACAAAGATGCAGGTTGAGGGAGAGCCGGGCTCCCCTTTAAACACAATTCCCCATTTGGTAAAACAATCTCTTCCTTTCTTTCTTTCTCTCTTATCTGTAGATCCACGGATTATGGCACCACCTATGAAAAGCTGAATGACAAAGTGGGTTTGAAGACTGTCCTCAGTTACCTCTACGTCAATCCTACCAACAAAAGGAAGGTGAGAGGAGGGGTCGGTGGGTCCTAAGCACTCCTTGCGGAGTGGCGGGCGGCCAAGGGCAGGAGTTAAGGGGAAAAAAAAAACCAGTAGCCACTGCGTTGCTGATAGACTGCCCGTTTTATATGCCAAGAGTGCCACAGACACTGTAGTTCTAACACCTGCTTTGATATAGTGGTAACAATAGTAATAATAATAATATTAATACTCACAACAGTAACAGTATATAACTATGTAAGGGGTTCCTCTGTGCCACGGACGGTGCTATGTGCTTTATATACCGTATCTCATTTATCCTCGTTATGAATCTATGTGGCAAAAAAGACTACTGTCCCCATTTTACAGATGAAGAAACTGAAGCTCAGAGAGATTACATGACTTTCTAGCCTGAAGGCAGACAGTAACAAGTAATAGGGTGAGTGACAGACCTAGAATCTAAGAATGGGACTGCTGGACCCCAGAGCTGAGTCCTCCTGCAGCCTCCTTTTTGCTGGTCTCTTTTCAGAACCCTCCATGTAAACAAGGAGTCGGTTTTTGCCAAGGATAGGCAGCTCCTAGATTCTTCCACTGGATCCAGCCAGAGCTCATTCTGAGGCACAGGGAAGCCAACTGACTCTGCCGGCCTCTGATTTTCTGTCTTTCCTCTCCGCTTAACAGCCAGGACATGACTGAAATTGTATGAGGTCAGACTTTGCTCGTGGAGACCTACTGGGAAGAGGGGGCCTGAGTTGCGTGGAGTGGTGAATGGTTTTAGAAATGAAATGCTTTCTAATATATTGGCTTTGGGGAGAGGTGCTCTTTCCCCAGCTAGGAGGGTACTGCTGTTTAGAAACTAGGCTGATCTGGCCCCAGTAAACACACCACCGATATAAAAGGCCATTTCAGAGTTTCTTAAATGCTGAAAATGGCACTCCCCAGCTCTCCTTCTGCAATCTGTTTGCATTCCCCAGTGGTTTTGCAAACCCTTTCTTTAGCGAGGTAGGCTCAGGGATGATCCTCAACCCAGTGTGCAGAGGTCCCTGATCTCGGAGTCCAACCTGCTGGAGTCCAAGCTGTGGCTTAGAACCATGATTGTGCTACTCAAAGCAGGGCAACTTGGACTCAGACCCTTAACATCACAGCCCAGCTACCCCTTTTCCTCACTCCCACCTGGCTGTCCTCAGCAAAGGGATGAAGCAGGATTGGTGGCTCCTGGTTCAGCGTTGGTAATTGATGCCCGGAGATCCAGCCAGCGCCAGGGGTCCCCACGCCTGGGACTGTGCCTCCCAGCCAAGTGCCAAAACTCTGCTGATCAAGACAGCCGTTTAGGTGTCTGTTGCTGGTTTTAGCTGAGTCATTCTCTTCTTTGTCCCAAAGGGTTGTCCTTTTCCCATTTCTCAATATTGTTATTTGAATTACTGAACATTAGAGCTGGATGGAAGGGATCATAGCTTTCATCTGTACGAGCAGTTGTTGATAGTTTTTGAACGGCAGCTCCTTTGCAAATGTGATTAAAGTGCTAGGCCTCCTCTTATAAACATGCCCCCACACGCAAACTTTTGCAAACAATTTTTAGATATTTATGAACACCTTAAATTCCACCTGTGGACCCAAGGTGTCTGTGGAGTCTTGATTAAGGATCCTTCATCTATTCCAATAGTCTCGATTCCCAGATAAGGAAACTGAAGCCAGAAAAGACCACAGAGGCGGGTAAGAAATGGAGCCAGAGTTAGAGCATGGGACGTCTGATGCTCAGCCCAGGTGTCTTTGCTTTGGACCACGCTCTGCTCCTTCCCCTTCCATGCAGTCACAGCCCTGGGCTTCAGAATTGATGGTCTAATCCTGACCTGGGAACTTGAGGCAGTTGCTTTGTGACCTTGAATTAAAGCTTGGCGCCATGGCCATGTGGACACATGATAAAACTTGACCCAATCAACTCATCAGTGGTCTGTGTCAAGTCTTCCTTTGTGCTCTCTCTTCGTTAAGAAGGAAGCTGAGGCCCACAGAGCCTCGCCCATGGCGCTAGGCTGGTTGGCAGCAGAATGGACACCTGGTCTCGTTAATTCCCAGCTTAAAGCTCCTCCCATCCCCACAGTAGCTTGGGGCCGTAGAATCACAGTGGGTGTCTGCACTCTGGAAGAAGCAGGGAGTGGTTATTTGATAGATGGCAGGTGCCCTTCAGTGATGATCTCTGACCTCTGTCTGGACCACAAGAATTAATCACATCTTCATGTAGGTGGTGGATCACCTGTCTTTGTGAGGATTTTCCCAAGTGGCACTTGAAGGGTCACACCTGTTTGCATCCATTCCGGTAGTCATCTGTCATGTGTGTTGCCCGTTGGACTCCTACTGATCACGACACTTCTTTCGGTCTTCTGCTGTTTTTCTCCACTCTTGACTGTTTTACCTCTTTTTAGTATAACCTAGAGGTGCTCAGTCGTGTGGGAAACCAAGGGCGGGATAAGGCTGATGCTGAGGGTTAGAAGAACGTACAGCTGGGATTTGGAGACCACTGGTGCAGAGAGGCACCTCCATTTCTCCTTCCCAGAGGTGATGTTCAGACCATGGGCTCTCTGGAGCAGTTCCTCACAGGAATTATCGCCCAATTAACAAAAGTTAGGTCTGTTTTGTCTTGTCTTTTCTGAGAACCACCTCCAAAGCACAATTAAATGCCACCTAAGAGACACTGTCACCCAGAAAGTTAAAAGTACGGACATTTTCTTCACTCAGTTCAGGGAAAGACAAAAAGACAGGCTCATGAATGCCATGGGTTTATTTATTTATTTTGGAAATAGCAATATAGATTAATTTCATAAAGGGACTGTGGGATCCTGAAATGCTTTCTGAATCATCCAAGCGGAGATAAACTTAGGTTCAGTTTCATTTTACTGTAAGTGTGTTTGCCTGTATTTGGAGCCGCTGAACACGACAACAAACACGCTACGTGGTGACTCTCTCTTAACCAGAGTATCGGGTTTACTAGACCTGCACTGCTCAAGCCACTCAGGCAAAGTGACAGTTAGATGTAAATGAAAATACTCTTATTTTTTTATTGGTCTAGTGCTCTGGGCCATTATGATGTTGGGTTTTATTTTATTTTTTTAATTAAAAAAATGGGGGGATTCGTTTTTTTATTTATTTACTTTTTTTTAAATGGAGGTACTGGGGATTGAACCCAGGACCTCGAGCATGCTAAGCATGAGCTCAACCACCGAGCTGTACCGTCCCCCCATGACCTTGTAATGCAACTGGTTTTTGTTGTTGTTTCTTTGTTACATATGTCTTGAAGTTTAAACCCATGGTCATCTGGAGTCTCATGTCAACTTGAATTCATCATGATTCTTTTGGCTCTCTCTGCACCCAAATTATCTGTAGCTCCCCATGATCTTCAACCGGCTAGTGGCAGTAGTCTCCAGCAGATTCTTCTAGCTAATCTTGTCCAAATACTTGCTTTCCACCTAATGTGTTACTTATTTAACGCATGGCTACTGCTTTCCTGGAGGCTGTGAGTACATCAGAGTTCTGTTACCCCTAGTAAAACAGTAAATTGTGCCTGTATTAGTGTAGGTATTCCCAAAGCTTCTTAACACTTTTCTGACAACATGAAATCTCCAAATGCAGATAGCCATTGAGTTGAGAGGAGAAGTGTTAACATCTGTACAGTGAGCTTAGGTAGCATTAATTGAGCATCAACTATACTAAGGTTCCCTTAAGAACTCTCTCTCTATAATCGCCAGCCCTCCCAGCCACCTTAGAAGGCAGGCAAGGTAATGACCTCTGTGCAAATCATACCAGGCTGTGTTACTTGTAAATGGTGGGTCTGCAAAAGACTACCCAAGAGCTTTTATTTGGGGGCAAGTTAGGGTACATCTGGCAATGCCGGACTCCCTTAAGGAAGCTGAGATTTGGACTAGTCATAGCGACTCATCTTTTTCCAAATCAGAGTATTGATATGAAGTGCCGGAGAGCTACTTGAGTTGAATTATAGACCACCTTGTGGTGCAGTGGCATCAGGATTATTTTAACGGCTTTGACCTGCCCTAGTTGTATTTGGTGTGCATTCTGCATCCCTCACTGTTTGTCTTTGGCTGGCCGTTGGCCAATGAGCTCACTGTCTGGGTGATGTCTGAGCCCAGCACTTTGAAGACAGAGAGCAGTGCGTTAGCTCCCAAAGTGTGTGAGGTCTGCCCCTGGAGGAGGGGCTCTGCTAGGGGGTGGGGTCTGAGCTCCAGCTCACAGCCTCCCCTCCCCTTGGCAGGAGATAAACACCCCTGGGTTCCTAGAACTCACTACTGTCAGCGGGACTCTGTCCTCGGGCCCATGCAAAGTGGCGTGTGCCAAGGTCAAGCCTGCATTGAACAGCGTTGTGCTTTATACAAACAGGCTGAAGTCTTTGTGCCTCAACCAGACAGGGACTGAGCTACCAAGGGTGTTGATTTGAGAACAAATCTTTGAGTGGAAAGAGAAATGCAGGCGTGTTATGGCCTAATTGCTCTGGCTCAAAAGCGGCTGCCACCTGCAGATTTGGAAACAGTGAACGGAGAACATAGACCATCCTGACTGCCAGGGAATGCGATCAAATTGCTGCAGGAGAGAGGTGTGTGTGCCTGTGTGTGTGGATGGAGGAGGGATGGAGTGGGGATGGAGGACTGTAAGGGCTGACATCACAGTAGAAGAAACACTTTTTTTATTGAGCTCTTACTAAATTCCAGGCACTGGACTAAATTCATTTCTACCCTCTGTTAAGTTTCACTGTTAATCCCCTGAGCCTAGTAGTTTTATTCCCATTTGTCAGGTCAAAAAACTGAGGCTCAGGCAGATGAGCCGTTTGCTTTCTCTGAAGTACCTGGTCAGCGGGGGGTCAGGATCCCCACTCACCTCTGCTGGACCAGCCAGGCCGTGCTGTCTGCTTGGACCTGCCACAGCTTGGCTGGCCTGCCCACGACACAAAGTCCAGGCAAGTGCTTTCATCTGTTAGTAGGAACTCTGGTGCCTGGGTTTTCTGCCCATTAGTGTTAGAGGAT